GGCATCCACGTGCTGCCTACTGGGATGCTCACTGGCCCTGGGTGGGCTGGCAGCTACAGCCCCTTGGGAAGGGGACGCAGGGACAATGGGGACATCCTTTCCCGCTCGCAAGGACAAATGAGATGTCTGTAAACCTGTTTATTGCAGGCATGATAATGCTATCTGCCCTGCCTGATAACGGCAGGGACTCGGATGCCTTTTAAAGGAGAGAAGCGACAAGTGGATGGTTGGAGCTCCAGATAGCGGGTGCCGGGGCCAGGCGGTGACGTGCCAAGCCCTGGCCAGTGGCATGTGCTGCCTGACGAGACCCAGCTCCTGCCAGCCCCTCGGCATGCTCTTGCTCCCGTCCTACATCTTCCCATCTCTTGCTAATCCTTTCTAAGCCCCTGGGCTCTGCTTTCCGAGCCGTGTACTTACCCCACAGCCACCCTTCGGCGGTAAGGCTGGGCACCCAGCATGTATGGGCTGTGTCCCCCGTGCACGTGGCTGCCTCCCCCTCCCAGCTCGCCCTGGGCTCCTTGGGTTGGGGAGCAGGTTTGCCCCGCTGCAGGCAGGGTGCTGCCCTGCTCGCCCTCCCATGCAGCCAAGCCTCAGGACACAGGATGGCCAGATCCAGGCTGGCGGGTGCTGCACATCCAGGAGGACCGTGCAGAAAAAAATAAAACAAAAAATAAAGGTTTTGCCTGGTTTTGTGAAAGGCTCCGCTGTCGCATCCCTGAGCACCCACCGGGAACCACTCCCAGGCCATGGATGGGAGCCTGACCAGTTTTGCCATGAAGCTCCTGCCAAATGGCGAGGACGGAGGCAAAACGCTGGCAGAGCTGGGACAGCTGGCGGTCAGTGGCCATCGCTCGCCACGGCCTGTGGCAGCAGCTGGCTGCTCTGCCATTTGTCACCGCGAGCACCTGGCCGTGGGTCGCGTCCGGGGGTGCGGGAGCTTTAGGGGTGACAGAAAGCTGCAGCGTGTCACCCTGGGGGGACACTCACACTGGGGGACAGAGGGGGCTGGGCTTGTGGGTGCACACAGTGCACCAGCCGAGGGTCTGCGGGCCACACACGGACGACTGTTGTCTGGGCAAGCCCAGCCAGCAGCGGGGTTTTTTTCCTTAACCTTTTTTATTGGATATTTTCGCCCCTAGTTTCTTCTTGCCCTGTAACAAATCCAGCTGATCCTAGGTGCCAGAAAACGTGAGACACACAAGCAGAGGCGAGCAGAGGAAGGCTTTCCAGCCTCAGCTCCCCATATGAGCAGCCCTGTCTGGGTGCGTGAGTTTTTGTGGTATTTGCATCTAGAAGGAAGAAGAAAGAGCTGAGGGAAGTCAGCACGGGGAGGGGGAGAGAGGTGAGCCAAAGGAGAGGCAGCCTGGGGGGAGTTACTCCTTATTTATTCCTTACTTTCCCTTAATCTCCCTGCAAAGCTCTCTGGTTGACCTGCCCTAGGCAGAGGTCCCAAACAGCCTCCTGCCTTTTGAAGGCTCCCGATGGAGGCAATCCCTGCTTCACAGCCAGGGCCAGACCAGCACGGTCAGCAAAACAACCCCAACCACATCTTGCAGCCCCCCTTGCTGCTGCCCAGGGGATGGATGGCCATGTGTGCTGGCACCAGCTTTAGGATTTCAGTCCCACACGGGAAGGGGAATGCTGCAGGGACGCGGCTCCTGCTCCACTCCGTGCAGCATCCCTGCGGGAAGGGGCTGGGTTACAAAACCCTGTCTGCGTGGTCCCCGCTTTATCGGGGAGGGGGATGCTGGGCTGCCAGGTGTTCCGTGGAGGAAAGCCATGCCATGCCAGCACGTCCCCTAAGTGGGTAATTACGGGCACGGCCAGATCAGGGGAGGTCGAACATCAGTGCCCCGCGATGCGATGTGTGCCGGGTCGGGTGAGCCAGCTGGCCACAGCGGCTCAGGAAACCCTGAGGCTGTGCGAGGCTGGGTGCCATTGGAGGAAAATGGGTCACCCACCATCGGGGGAGGGCAAGGGCTGGGGGGGACGGTCCCCTCGGCGGGGACGTCCCCAGGCATTGCTGCAGGGTGTGTTGTGCCCTCTCCCCTGGCTGCTGAAAGGCAGCTTTGGCACCCACTGCCAGGAAAACCCCAGTTCAGCCCTCAGGGAGGGATGGAACCCCCATAAATTTCTGACGTAAAATGCATCATTTTCCAAAGGTGACACCAGTGACAGCACCCTAGGCTGGTCCCCAGCCTGCTCCTCCTGGCAGATGTGTCCCCAGCCTGGGTATTAATACGGCTGTCTGGCGGGGGTGTGCCCCCCAGAGAAGCGGTGCCAGGCGTGCTGTCTCTGGAAAAGCTGAGCCATCCCCGCTCACTCAGCCAGTGCCACCTGAGTCACCCATCCCGCTGTCCCCATCGTCCTGGGACAGCCCTGCCCTCGGCGCGGGAGCATGCCAAGCCTAAACCGGGGCAGATTAAGACACGACTGGTTAAAGCCACTGAGCTCCTGGACGAACATATCCGCTTGGGATTTAGCGCATTTGCAGGCAGGGATTCACACCTTTAGGTGATTTGTCTTAATTACCTCCAGCCTCTATGTGTGAAAAGCCCTTGGCAGGCGAGAGCCTGGCTGGGAGCTGGTTCTGCACCAAGGCCAAGCCCTGGGTGTCACCTGCAGCTGCCCCACATGTGCTGCCAGGTGGGTGCAGCCTTCCTCCTCCTCCTCCTCCTCCTGCCTCCCCAGCTCCCAGGGCTGGGACACAAGCTGAGATTTCCTATGGATCCGGAGGATTTAGACAGCAGACCCTTTTTGGGATGTCCCTCGCGGCATGGGAGAGGGACGATGCTGCTGGTGCCGTGCCGGCACCTGCCTGCTGCCGCAGGGTGCTTTAGGGCAGCAGACACACCGGGTACTGTGGAGGGACCCACGCGAGCGCCCGTGGGGCTGTGCTGGCGGAGGCAGCTGGCCTCCCAGAAATCAACAGCTTCCCAAATCCCCAGCTCCTGCCTTATGCTGGCGGCTCCCTGGTGGGGCCCGTGGGGCTCAGCCACCCCTCCCTGGGGCCGTGCAGGGCCGGGGCGTCCCGGCCACCGCCACCACCTGCCCCTGTGCGGGGACACCGCAGGCCACAAAGACCCACATTGTTGTGACAGCAGCTGGGCACGGAGTGACGGGGACGCCTGGGTCCTTCTGACCCGGCGGGGTGTGCGGCCGATGGAGAAACCCACTGTTATCATCCCCGTCCCGTCTGCCCCCCGTGCACCCACAGGGCCGGGGTCACCCCGTCCCATGCTGGAGCCCTGGGTTCCCTTCCCAGGGCTGTCTCTGCACCGGGAGCCGAGCGGGCGCTTGGCAGCCGCACCAGCTGCCGGCGGAGAAAGGAGGAATTAGATGACAATGGCGGCGGAGGAGAGCCAGGCTGTCGGCTGATGAATAATGCAACGGCTTCGCTTTCGGGAGCTGCAGATTTCCTGTTTACCGACACTCGGCCCCAGCCTGTGGGGCGACGGGGCAGGGGTGAGACCCCCGGAGCACCCCAGCCGAGGGCCCTGCCGCCCCACTCTCGTCCCCTGAATGCCCCCCTTCCCTGCACCCGCTGCCCGCAGCAGCCCCGTGGTGCAGGATGCGGCCATCCAAGCACAGAGGAGCTTCCCCTGGTGCAGGGGGTCTGCACCCCACCACAGGGCACGTTTTAGGGTGGGCGAAGCCAGCACTCCCGCTTCGGCATCGCTTCATGGCTCCCTGAGCATCCCTTTGCAGCGGCGGTAGCCGGAGGGATTTTTGACACGGGCGTTTCCATGGCAACGGAGCAAAATGGCGCCGGGAACCAGGGAGCTGCTTGGGCGCTGTGGCAAGGCAGCCTGCGCTGCCAGAGCAGGGTTATGGCGGGGAAGGGCCGAGGGTGCCGGGGCAGCGAGCGCGTCTGCTCACCCTACAGATGGGATGGGAGATGCCCGAGCCCCTCTGCTGGGGCTGCCCCAGAGCTGGCACCCTCAACTCACGCCCCGGGCCCACGGCGTGCCTGCGATGGGCAGTGCTGCCCCATGATGCCATGCCACGCGTGCCACGCGTGCCATGCCGTGCCAGCAAGGCTGCCAGGAGCTGTGCCTTCCTCCCTCCCCTTGCCCGCCTGCCGTCACCGCTATCTCTGCTCCCCCAGGGCCTCTCGCCCTCGTCCCCCCGCCAAGGTCTCCTGTATCAGGCCTGTCGTCCCGGCTACTTAATCTGGGTTTCTCGGTTACCCCATCCGGAAAAAATGTGTCTAAGAATACCCAGCACAGGCACAGCGCTTCCCGGGGTGGGGGGCTGCTGCCTGTCCTCCCCCAACGTGTGCTGCCAGCCCCTGTGCCCTCCGCTTCACCCGGGCACCGTCCCACCAAACCAGCTCCTGCACAGCCGTGGCTGTGAGCGCTCCGGCGCTGGGGCTGGCCGCTGTCAGGATGCAGCCGGTGGTCTCTTGGCCAGTGCAGTTGGTGTTGGGCTTCCTCAGACACCGGCGTGCCACCCCGAAGGACCACAGCACCCGGCTGTACACTCCTCTGCAGCCGCACAGTCCACACTAGTCTTTGACCAGCCTAACTGTGTGCACCCAGAGTTTGAAAGCATCCCCCCAGGTGCTGCCCTGTCCCTAAAAGAGGGGGCTAACTGTCCCTTAGCTGTCCCTAAAAGAGAGGGCAAGCCGGTTCCTGTGCTCGCTCCGTTTCTCGCGTGGGCCCTGGGGCTGGGGGTCGTGGCAATGGGATCTGCTGGTCCCGCGGGTCGGTGCCAGCCGGCAGGGATGCAGGACTCACCCGGGGACAGGCGAGGTGGCACCGCTGCTCGGCCGCGCACCGGAGGGGACCGGGCACAGAGCTGGTAAAACCCCACAAGTCACATTGCTTAATTGCAACCTTTGTATTTAATTCCCCCCCCAGGGCAAGGGGAATCGTGACCACTTGCATCCTTGGGGCTTTCGGAGATGGCGAACAGGGCAGGCGAGCTTTGACCCGGGTGGGGGCTCTGCCGGCCGGGCCCGTGCACCTGCCGTGCT